AACCCTGAAGCCCTAAATCTTAAAAACTCGGTGCAAATACTAGGACATCCTGACAAAAAACAAACCCCAAAACAATGGCTATCGCCAGAAAAACCTTGACTGAAGAGAGTTGCACGCTAGACAACCTCAAACTTCACCAAACCTTGCGTCAAGGTTCAGGGTTAGCTATTGGTACAAGGGGTTAGGTTGAGGGTACATGGTCAGCTGTACCGAATAGTACAAGCAGCAGTTGTACTTCTTGTAACTGCAAACGAAATACATACAGACCTATTGTGTAGCAACCTATGAACCTGCCCTGAAGCCTGAACCCTAAACCCCNNCCAAACCCCAAACCCAAACCCGATAAGATACCCTAAACCTGATTCTGATTCCTTTCCCACCCCTTGCTGAGCACCCGGACACCAGACGCAGCAGCTGTGCTGCCATCTCAGGGATGTCCAGGAAGGGTGCAGAGAGCAAGAGAGTTCCTGGTGTTTAGGGTTTAGGGTTTAGGGTTTAGGGTTCCTGGTGCCCAGGGACTCGAAAACTCCCTGCCTTAATCGAAGGTTAGAAGTATGGGGCCCTAATATGGACCCTTCGGCCTTTCTGGGGACCCTTAAGGTGCATTAAGGGGTATATAGGGGTTTCCGACAATAAGGGGACCCTAATATAGTACCCTAAAGAATAGGATCCCTATTATAAGGACCCCAAAATAAGGTACCCCCCTATTTTCGGAAACTCTAAACCCTAAACCGGTTTAGGGTTTAGGGTTTAGGGTTTGGGGTTTAGGGTTTAGGGTTTTGGATTTAGGGTTTAGGGCTAAGATAGCTACCTTAAAGTATCAAGGGGGCCGGGATGTAAGTCAAATTTCGATACTTTTGAATCTTACTCCACATCATAGTAAAGGGCCGAACCATTAGAATAGGCTAGAATGATAGTACGGAGACCTAGGGAATAATGTTACAGTAGTCATTCGCGCTCCGAGCGTAATAAGAGACATCTTCCTAGCACTTGAAAGACTGATCCTACTATTCCGGATCTGAACCAAGGTTCCTGGCTTTCTGATTGGACCTTGAAACCCTAAACCCTAAACCCGGGTTCCTGACCGAGCTCGGGGCCTATGGGATCAAGTTCAAGGTGTAGCGTTCATGCTTAAGGGCTTCGGGTTTAGGGTTTAGCGGATCAAGTTCATGGTGTGGCGTTCATGCCTAGCGGCTGTTAGGAGTGAAGGGTTCATGGCTGTAGGGCCGTTGCACTGTGTATGGCCTTTAAGATGTTCGGGTTTAGGGTTTAGGGTTTAGGGTTCAGGGCATCATGCGAGATCTACAAAGGTTCAGGGTTTAGGGTTCAGGGCATCATGCGAGATCTACGAAGCCCTGTAAAACTTTAGAAGCTTGAGCCATAGAGCCCACACTGCTCGTGGAACAAAGACGCCGTGGACTACCCTAAGCACTCGAAAACAGGAACTCTTAGTCAGACCCTCTACCTGAACCCCAAATAACGTACCTGTTTAAAGACTTGTATAAGGAGTTCATATTAAAGAGCCCTTCAAAGGTGGGTTCTTGAGGGTAGACAATGCAAAGTCGTTGGTCGACACCTAGAACCCTGATGCCAAAACACCTACAACTCTCAACCAATTCAACAAAAACTTAGCCCCCACAGACCCTAACCATCAAACCTAACACACTAAAACCACACCCCTGAACCCAAAACACCTTAGAAGAACCATAATAAAATCCAAGCAACAACGGAACAACCCCTTTGAAACACCCAAACCCTTAATTAACTTAAAAAGGTTCAGCCAACAAAAACCCTAAACCCTAAACCCGCCTGGTTCTTGTGTCGGTCTCAGCTCCGCAGGGAGCAGCGAGGCATCCCAGGAAGCAGCCAACCTCCGAGCCATGACATTCTTTAAAGGTTTTATAAGGGTTCCTTTACAGGGATCTATAAAAAAGGGGGTGCCTTTAAAGGGGTCCTATAAGGGTTACT